GTGCGAGAACGCCGGTTCCAGTTGTCGTCGTTTCCTCGCTTGTCGCAGCCGGATTGGGCTGCGCTTCAGCCGTCAGATTCGTATGACCACCAGATCCTCCGGCCATTCTCACACGTGAGCGTGTGCCGGACGCCACTTTCCGTTCGCCCGGAGGTGGCAGTGCGAAGGATTCCCGAGTCGCTCTCATACCATGCTGCGATCAAAAGTTGATCGACCCTAGGATCACCTAAGGAAAGTTCGCACACAGCTGATTGGTAGTGGTGGGCCCTTGACCTCAAAACAGAGTGAATGTAAAATGTTTGAGATGATTATAACATGCAAATACATGGATATAAATAAGAGTACAAGGTGGATAAGAAACGACCTAGCTAGCCATGTACTCTAAGGGGTAAATTCCCGTACTGCAGCAAAACTTAACCGTGCGACTCTAGACGAATACGAACCGCCTGGGCAGAATCCTCGCCACTGATGCTGCCTGATGCTGTGTCCCCTGACGGTCCAGATGTTTCGTAACCGTACGACCCTTCACGTCACTTCCGGCTTTTCGTCTTCAGCCTCGGTACTGCATGTTTTGATTGCTGCGATTAGGAGTGCACAGTAATACTTCATCTTTTACTATTCGTAACAGGAATTAATGAAGCTTCAGACCAGATTACCGTATGCTGATGAGTGTATGGGTCTTTTGCTGCAGGTTTGATTGCTCGCATTACAGACGCCGGGTCTATTTCAGTCACTATGCACCCCTATTTATGACCTCTCAAGTTTACTCTACGCCACCGACTGGGTGTTAAGTGCCACCCCCCTCCCCCCCCCCCCCCATTTTTTATAATTCGTAGATAGAAGGAACTCTATGGTAATTATATTGAGACAAGCCCTACAACCAGGTGTGGGAGCCGGGCCTGGTTGTAGAATAGCAAGGGCGGTGTCTTCCATTGCACTGTACAGAATTCTACCAACTACGACTGGTTGGACAACATTCACGACGAACACAAAATACCCTAAAAACATAGCGAGAATAGTTACCGCTCCTGCCCACGAAAGTATGAGCCGTATCCTCCGAGGGTAGTCTCATCAACTGAATCAGGCACTTTCGAAACCAGCTTCGATGTAACAATGGTTCACTTGCCGCGCCCAGCTTCCTGAGGTGGCAGGGGTGTTCCTATCCATCATCCTCAAAAGCTAGTATACCAGGGTAACTACCTCTGAGTGCATTTAATGATTAAGCGATATCCAACAAATGACGCGCACACGTTGGCTACTTCAGCTCTAGAAACCGCACAGAAACATTTTGAAACGCGCTGAAACTCCGATAACGACGCCGTGCCGAACTGGAATCTGCCTCATTCGTCGGTGCCCTCCTGCCATGGTCACATCATGCAGCCCAGCCCAGCCAACCCCCAACCCATCCATAGCAGCACATCATCGTCATCTGCTCCACACCACACACCACACCACACCAGTCTCCTCCCCCTCCGTGCTTTTAGGGTTTCCTCCCCCCCGCACCACCACAGTTGAGATTTGCAGTGTGTATTCTTCTTCGCAGAACCTTTTCAAGCTCCTCTTATCTTCCTAGCATTCAGTTTCTAGTCTTCCCAGGCTTTGACTTCAGGTTGTGCAGCATAGAGGTTGTCTCGTTATTTTTTTTTTTAAGTCCATAGCACGTTCGTTCTTACACACTCAGTAGGCGAGGCGTCATGGTTTCCACAACCCACGCCTCGTCAAGTTAATTCCGCGAACCGAGGGCTTCATTCCCCTCACACTCGCATCAACGTATTCACGACCATCGTTAACATTTCCAATGAATCCGTTTCGACGAATCCCGAGTCAATAGCCAAGTACTTGGTCCGAGCGAGGCGAACAGAGTAGGTGAAACAATGCCTCCAGGCCGTGAAACGGACCTAGCCGACTTGATGGCGGAAATGTCTGTTAGCGAGGACGCCTCGTCCTCGCTCACTTACGACTCCGAAGAAGGCGGCGTGTCTTCCGGCCAGGCCAGAAGCCATGGCAAGCCCATATCGTCGTCTGGAGCCACACCGGGATCATCGACAGTACTACACCCTTCGCATTCCTCGGTGAAAGCGTCTGGTAACTCGCCGTCGCAAACGTCGCCTCCAGTCGCCGTGATGTCGTCTGGCGGGGTGCACGAGCTACTGGAGTGTCCCGTCTGCACCAACTCCATGTTCCCTCCCATTCATCAGGTGAGCTCGCCTTCCATTTGTAAACGCCACTTTTCACGTGTAACTCGATGTCAAGTCTGTAAAGAAGTGTTCAGATTCAGTTTTGTTTGTTTTCCTTAAAGCAGATTCCCCTTGGAACTCTGCTCTGAATCGTTGCGACGTCGCGAGCTGAGCTTTCTCTCGACTGCTTTGTTTGACTTCCCACGCGTTACCCAATGTTGTCGCTGACTCTTTTGACGTTCGCTCGATTAAGCTCTTACTTTTCTCAATCGCTCACACTCTCAGTCGCTCACGCTCCCAGGGCATTTCAGACCTGACCAGTAACTCCGCCTTGCAGTCAATGTAAATTCAAACTTGCACCAACCCTTCCCACCTGCACATCATTGTCCCAATCGCCACGCGCTCTCGTCGCGCTCTCCTCCCCGCACCCCCCCCAGTGCCCCAACGGCCACACGCTGTGTTCGCACTGCAAGGCGCGCGTGCACAACCGCTGCCCCACGTGCCGCTACGAGCTGGGCAACATTCGCTGCCTCGCGCTCGAAAAGGTCGCCGAGTCCCTCGAGCTGCCCTGCAAGCACCACACGCTCGGCTGCCCAGAAATTTTGCCTTATTACTGCAAGGTGAAGCACGAGGCGCTGTGCGCGTTCCGGCCGTACTGCTGCCCGTACGCGGGGTCGGAGTGCGCGGTGACGGGGGACGTGCTGGCGCTGGTGGCGCACCTGCGGGATGATCACAAGGTGGACATGCACAATGGCAGCACGTTCAACCATCGCTACGTCAAGCAGAACCCGCAGGAGGTGGAGAACGCCACGTGGATGCTCACGGTGAGTGAGAGAGTCGTGTCCTCGTTTCCATTTCCCAGATGGTGCAGGGATGGTGGGTGGAGTACGTGAGGTGTGTGAATGAGGGGGTGTGGTGGTGCGTGTCATGGTTTTTGGTGTTGCAAGACCGTTGCTCATTGCTCTGCTCACAGCAAGGAATTACCCCCCATTCTCCCTTTTCCCGACCTCCCCCTCCCCCCCACTCCGCTTTCCTTCCCTTTACTCCCCTTTCCCCCTTTCGTTTAAGACATCTAACACCCATTTACCCGCTTCTCGCCCTCAACCCCTCCCCCTTGTGCGCTCGTCCCCAGGTGTTCAACTGCTTCGGGCAGCACTTCTGTCTGCACTTCGAGGCGTTTCAGCTAGGCAGCGCCCCGGTCTACATGGCGTTTCTGCGCTTCATGGGGGACGACGCGGACGCCAAGGCGTTTGGGTACAGCCTGGAGGTGGGCGGCAACGGGCGCAAGCTCATGTGGCAGGGCGTGCCGCGCAGCATCCGGGACAGCCACCGCAAGGTGCGGGATTCTCATGACGGGCTGATCATTCAGCGGTCCATGGCGCTGTTCTTCTCAGGGGGCGATGGGAAGGAGCTGAAGCTGAGAGTTACTGGGCGGATTTGGAAGGAGTGACGTTTGAGTTAATTCGGAAGGTGCGGGATTTGCGTGACGGGCTGATTATTCAGAGGACCATGGCGCTGTTCTTCTCGGGGGGCAATGGGAAGGAGCTGAAGCTGCGATTCACGGGGCGGATTTGGAAGGAGTGAGGGCGGGAAGGAGAGTGGATGGATGTGTGTGTGCTCATGGGGAAATGTGGATGTTGAGAGGCTGATGATGATGCAGTGGTGCTGGGTGGTGGAGGGCGGTGGTGGAGAAGGGAAGAGGAGGAGAGTGGAGGAGGATAGGGGAGGGGGAAGGTGGATGAAGGTGGAACTGACTGACTGGGTGGTGGGTGACCACGGGAGCGATGACAGCAGGAAGCTGCACTGACACATGAGCTGCCTGCTGCTTGAGAGGTGCAAGTATCCGTCGCTGGAAGAGCAATTGGTCCGGGGATAGGTGGGAGGAAGGGAGGGTGATTCTAACATGGGTGTAAGGTGGTGTGGAGAAGCAAGCAGGAGGGAAGGGACCCTCTGTGCGTGGCTCTCATCAGGAGGGCCCCACTTTCTTACTGACAACGGCGGTGGAGTGGGCGGCATGGGCTGCCCTTATGTACAGTGACCACAATGCAACTCGTTGCAACTTGATGAGACATGATGCGCTAACCACTGGTTTGTTGGGCCCTACATCGAAAGACCTTTCAGATGGCATGGCTCGGATGAAACAGTGGCCCACACTGATTTTGTTCAGTGATTTGAAATGCTTTTGGATTATTGAGTTCATTTGAGCACTTGTTACAGTACAATGACTGAATTTCTGTAGCTGCTTGGATTTTTTTTAGGGGGATTGGGGCCTTTACCTTGCAATGTTGCTTTTTAGTTTAATTTTATCGCCTTTCTAACAACGCCACTTATGCAGGAACTTTGACCACGAGGGCTGTAAGCAGGATGTGCTTGTGATTGCAGAGCATTTTACTGCTCTAAAGCGAGCTGTAACTCACTGAACCGTCGATTAAAAACTTCGAGAAGGAATCTTGAGAGGTTCGAATACCACACGCTTTCAGGCATCGCGTGGCATTTTTCAAAATCCACACCAGCAGCTTTTTCTCCCTCCAATTTCTCCTACTTTTAGGGTAGCTAGGTCGTCGCCACCACACCAAACCAAACTACGGCGCCCCAAGCACTTCAGTAGCTCACGAACTCATTCTTCATTTATCGTAGAATCCGTTCCGTAGCGGCGTACGCGCGATTCAGCCTCGCCGGCCAGCACCGCGAAAGCACAAGCCGTTCCGCCACGAACGCTCTGAATCCAACCGATTTTCGTGAAAGGCGAGGCGCAACGGTCAGCGGAGGGAGAGCGCTTGATCGGACACGAGAGCGATCGGTTTGGCAAGCGAGTGATTCGCGATGGGCGGGAAATGGGGCGCGATCTCGAAGCTGCACGCGTTCCCCAAGGCGGAGGACCACCTTACTCAGAAGACGCTGTCGGGCGCCATCGGTACGCGGAATTGGATTGGAGTGTCAATAGTAAGGCTTTGAGGCTTATACGGTGGGGCTAAGGGTCAGGTCTTCCAGGGTAGGAGTGGCGACGGACAGCGTTCCCCAAGGCGGAAGACCACCCACCTCACTCAGAAGACGCTGTCGGGCGCCATCGATACGTCTGCAGCAGTGTAGGTAAAGCTTAGGGCGTCCATACAGTGGGGCTACCGGCGCTCTTAAGAGTGTCGATTGTGCTGCACGCGCGTTCCCCAAGGAGGAGGACCACCTCACGCACAAGACGCTGTCGGGCGCCATCGGTGCAGGCCCCCAGGGTCACGCGTAAGGGCCCCCAGGGTCACGCGTAAGGGCCTCCAGGGTCACGCGTAAGGGCCCCCAGGGCTCCCCCACCCCACCTTCTCGTAACTCGTCCCATTCCGCCCTCGTTCAATCCCTGCCACACCTAGCCAGGCGGTGCAATCCCTGCCACACCCTAGCCAGGCGGTGCAATCCCTGCCTCCCCATCCTAGCTGTCCTTCGTGCTAACCCTCCTTCCTTGCATGTGACTCTCCTCGTGATCATGGCGGTGCCGTTCCCCCATTTCCCCCCTACCACTCCCCTCCTCCTCTCCCCCCACCCTCCACCCCACGCGCAGTGACTCTGCTGGGTGGGGCAATAATGGTGCTGCTGCTCGCTCACGAGCTCTCCTCCGTGCTCACACCGGAGGTGCTTCCCGCAATCACACAACCACCCCCCGCTCGCTCCCCATCCCCCCTCCCCCTTCCTCCTCCAGCCTGGCACAGTGACTCTGCTGGGCTGGGTGTGGCAACCATGGTGGTGCCATTCGCTCACGAGCTCTTTTTGTGCTCAGGCCTGAGGGGCTCGGCTCCACACAACCACCCTTCCTCCACCCATCCCATTGTCGCACCCTTTCTCACAGCACAGTGGCGCTGCTGGACGTTCCGCCGCCCGCCCATCACATTGGCAGACAAGCCCCCCCTCTCCCCCTTTCCCACCTTTCTCCCCGTCCCCGCGTCCCCCTCCTTCCCCCCTTCTCCCCCTCACCGCCCTTCTCCACGAGTTCTTCTTCATGCTCACAGCTCGAGGTGACCCCACAAGCGCACAATCAACCCCCTCCAACCGCTCAGTCACCACCCACCCCTCCATCCCCTCCACCCCGCTTTCTCCTCTCTCCGACCCCACAGTGACTCTTCTGGGCGTGGCGATCATGGTGGTGCTCTTGCGCTCACGAGCTCTCGTTTGTGCTCACGCCTGAGGTGCATGAGGAGGTGCGTGCGTGCTGGAATGGAGTGAATGACTAGCATGCTCACATGCTCTCATGCTCACATGCTCTCATGCTCACATGCTCTCATGCTCACATGCTCTCATGCTCACATGCTCTCATGCTCACATGCGCTCATGCTCACATGCGCTCACGCTCACATGCAATCATGCACACATGCAATCATGCACACATGCAATCATGCTCACATGCAATCATGCACACATGCAATCATGCACATATGCAATCATGCACACATGCAATCATGCACACATGCAATCATGCACACATGCAATCATGCCACATGCCAATCATGCACACATGCAATCATGCACACATGCAATCATGCTCACATGCAATCATGCACACATGCAATCATGCCATATGCAATCATGCACACATGCAATCATGCACACATGCAATCATGCACACATGCAATCATGCACACATGCAATCATGCACACATGCAATCATGCACACATGCAATCATGCACACATTGCAATCATGCACACATGCAATCATGCACGCATGCAATCATGCACACATGCAATGCATGCACACATGCAATCATGCACACATGCAATCATGCACGCATGCAATCATGCACACATGCAATCATGCACACATGCAATCATGCACACATGCAATCATGCACACATGCAATCATGCACACATGCAATCATGCACACATGCAATCATGCACACATGCAATCATGCACACATGCAATCATGCACACATGCAATCATGCACACATGCAATCATGCACACATGCAATCATGCACACATGCAATCATGCACACATGCAATCATGCACACATGCAATCATGCACACATGCAATACAAAGCATGCGTCTCGCGCTCTCGTTCATTTCATACATACCCACAGCCAAGCCTAGTCACAAGAGGAGGCGCGTGCGGTGGCCGTGAAGTGGAGCATCGTGCACATGTGGTGGCACACATTCAATCATGCATCCCCTCGCATCCCCTCCTCTCCCCTCGCATCCCCTCCTCTCCCCTCGCATCCCCTCCTCTCCCCTCGCATCCCCTCCTCTCCCCTCGCATCCCCTCCTCTCCCCTCGCATCCCCTCCTCTCCCCTCGCATCCCCTCCTCTCCCCTCGCATCCCCTCCTCTCCCCTCGCATCCCCTCCTCTCCCCTCGCATCCCCTCCTCTCCCTTCGCATCCCCTCCTCTCCCCTCGCATCCCCTCCTCTCCCCTCGCATCCCCTCCTCTCCCCTCGCATCCCCTCCTCTCCCCTCGCATCCCCTCCTCTCCCCTCGCATCCCCTCCTCTCCCCTCGCATCCCCTCCTCTCCCCTCGCATCCCCTCCTCTCCCCTCGCATCCCCTCCTCTCCCCTCGCATCCCCTCCTCTCCCCTCGCATCCCCTCCTCTCCCCTCGCATCCCCTCCTCTCCCCTCGCATCCCCTCCTCTCCCCTCGCATCCCCTCCTCTCCCCTCGCATCCCCTCCTCTCCCCTCGCATCCCCTCCTCTCCCCTCGCATCCCCTCCTCTCCCCTCGCATCCCCTCCTCCCCCCTCGCATCCCCTCCTCTCCCCTCGCATCCCCTCCTCTCCCCTCGCATCCCCTCCTCTCCCCTCGCATCCCCTCCTCTCCCCTCGCATCCCTCCTCTCCCCTCGCATCCCCTCCTCTCCCCTCGCATCCCCTCCTCTCCCCTCGCATCCCCTCCTCTCCCCTCGCATCCCCTCCTCTCCCCTCGCATCCCCTCCTCTCCCCTCGCATCCCCTCCTCTCCCCTCGCATCCCCTCCTCTCCCCTCGCATCCCCTCCTCTCCCCTCGCATCCCCTCCTCTCCCCTCGCATCCCCTCCTCTCCCCTCGCATCCCCTCCTCTCCCCTCGCATCCCCTCCTCTCCCCTCGCATCCCCTCCTCTCCCCTCGCATCCCCTCCTCTCCCCTCGCATCCCCTCCTCTCCCCTCGCATCCCCTCCTCTCCCCTCGCATCCCCTCCTCTCCCCTCGCATCCCCTCCTCTCCCCTCGCATCCCCTCCTCTCCCCTCGCATCCCCTCCTCTCCCCTCGCATCCCCTCCTCTCCCCTCGCATCCCCTCCTCCCCCCTCGCATCCCCTCCTCCCCCCTCGCATCCCCTCCTCCCCCCTCGCATCCCCTCCTCTCCCCTCGCATCCCCTCCTCTCCCCTCGCATTCCCTCCTCTCCCCTCGCATCCCCTCCTCTCCCCTCGCATCCCCTCCTCTCCCCTCGCATCCCCTCCTCTCCCCTCGCATCCCCTCCTCTCCCCTCGCATCCCCTCCTCTCCCCTCGCATCCCCTCCTCTCCCCTCGCATCCCCTCCTCTCCCCTCGCATCCCCTCCTCCCCCCTCGCATCCCCTCCTCCCCCCTCGCATCCCCTCCTCCCCCCTCGCATCCCCTCCTCCCCCCTCGCATCCCCTCCTCCCCCCTCGCATCCCCTCCTCCCCCCTCGCATCCCCTCCTCCCCCCTCGCATCCCCTCCTCCCCCCTCGCATCCCCTCCTCTCCCCTCGCATCCCCTCCTCTCCCCTCGCATCCCCTCCTCTCCCCTCGCATCCCCTCCTCTCCCCTCGCATCCCCTCCTCTCCCCTCGCATCCCCTCCTCTCCCCTCGCATCCCCTCCTCTCCCCTCGCATCCCCTCCTCTCCCCTCGCATCCCCTCCTCTCCCCTCGCATCCCCTCCTCTCCCCTCGCATCCCCTCCTCTCCCCTCGCATCCCCTCCTCTCCCCTCGCATCCCCTCCTCTCCCCTCGCATCCCCTCCTCTCCCCTCGCATCCCCTCCTCTCCCCTCGCATCCCCTCCTCTCCCCTCGCATCCCCTCCTCTCCCCTCGCATCCCCTCCTCTCCCCTCGCATCCCCTCCTCTCCCCTCGCATCCCCTCCTCTCCCCTCGCATCCCCTCCTCTCCCCTCGCATCCCCTCCTCTCCCCTCGCATCCCCTCCTCTCCCCTCGCATCCCCTCCTCTCCCCTCGCATCCCCTCCTCTCCCCTCGCATCCCCTCCTCTCCCCTCCCGTCCCCTCCTCTCCCCTCCCGTTCCCTCCTGTCCCCTCCCCTCCCCTGCCCGTCCCTCCCCTCCGATCTCTCCACCTCCATCGCTCCCATCCTATCCCATCTCTCCCTCCTCCCTCCCATCCCTCCCCTTGCTCCGCAGATGGCGGTGGATAATACATCAAGGGATGAGATGAGAAGCTTGATCTGTATCTCAACATCTCCTTCCCCTCCTCTCCGTCCCCTCCCCTCCCTCCCGTCCCTCCCCTCCCCTCCCTTCCCCTCCCTCCTCTCCCTTCCCTCCTCTCCCCTCCCTTTCCTCCTCTCCCCTCCCCTCCCTTCCCCTCCCTCCCATCCCGTCCCGTCCCTCTCTTCCCTTTCCCTACGCTACCCTCCCCTTTCCCTTGCCCCGCAGATGGCAGTGGACAAGACGCCAAGGGACGAGAAGCTCGATGTGTATCTCAACATCTCCTTCCCCTCCCTGCCCTGCAACGGTGAGCGCAGCAGCGTTGACATGCCTCTCTTCCCCAACCCTCTCCTTAATCCCTTCCCTTGTTGTCTCCTTTCGTCCTGCCCTGCAGTGGTATGCTTCCCACCTGTCCCCATCCTTCTCCCCTCCCCTCCTTCCCACCAGTCCTCTCCGCTCCACTTTTTTCGCCTTCCGTTGTCCTATTTCGCTTTTGCAAGTTCTCGTTCCTTCGTACACGCCACCCTTTCTTCTGTTCCCTGTTTTTTCTGATATGAAATGCATCTTGAATTATCTCCTCCCCATTTGTTGAAGCTATCGTGGATCAGCTGGTATTCTGCTATAATAAGTCACCTGCCACTGCCTGCACTTATGGGTGCGGGTGGGGGTGGGGTGGGGTGTGGTTGCGGGTCCGGGTGCGAGCGTGTGTGCGTGTGCATGTGTGCGTGCGTGTGTGCATTGCATGTGTGCTGCACGCTACAGTGATCAGTCTCGATGCGCTGGACATGTCGGGCAACCATGAGGTGGACATTGCAACAAACATGTACAAGGTAGGGTTACTGTAGCCCAGTGACAGTGGAACAGGAAGTGTCTGCTGCGTTGTATCTGCTTCTGCCACAAGGTGTGGCTCTGGACATGTCGGGCAACCATGAGGTGGACATTGCAACAATATGTACAAGGTACAACGAGGCTTTGCATAACAGTTACATTTAACTGTACGATGAGATGAGGTGTTTCGTTAACGAGTACTGGTCGCTCAGAATCACCTCACCAGCTGCCGTCATTCCCGTTGCCCATATCCATTCCACCCTTCGTCTGCCGCTCCATGCCCCTCCCTTTCATCCGTTCGACCCGTCTGCAACATTTCCGCTCACTTTTGGGAGTTCCCAAGGATTCTCAATCGTAATACCAATATAGACCCTCCCCCCCCCCTACATCCCCATTCTCCCCTCCCCCCTCCCCGCTTCTCGCCCTCCTTGGGCCTTCCCCTGCCGGTTGGCAGACTCACGGTGAATCAAGCACCCCATCCGTGCACTCAGGTCACTCCTACCTGCCCGCTGCCCTCCTCCTCCTCCGTCCCCCCCACCACCACCAGTGCCCTCCCGCTCTCTCCTATTTCCCTCCTCAGATTCGTCTGGACCGTCATGGTTTGTTGGCAGACTCGAGGTGGCTCAAGGACCCCACCTGTGCGCTCAGCTCACCTCACCTCACCTCTTAAGGACCCCTTCTCCCTCCTCTCCCTCCCCCCCTTCTCCCTCCACTCCCTCCCTTCCCCCCCCACTCCCCCCTCCCACCCTCTCCCCCCCCCTCAGATTCGTCTGGACCGCCATGGCCAGTTGGCAGACTCGCGGTGGCTCAAGGACCCCACAGGGGCATGGCGACAGAGCAAGGGCAAGAAGCGCAAAGGTGAGGCTCGGAACTTCAGGGTCGGAGGCTTGGGTTCCGAGGCTTGGGACCAGAGGCTTCGAACCTGAGGCTTGGGACCCGAGGCTTAGGGGAACAACAAGGGGCAGGGCAGGCCGTCTCAAGGACCCCACGGGCATGGAGGCGGAGCAAAGGCGAGAAGCTTGGGACCCGAGGATTGGGACCAGAGGCTTGGGACCAGCGGCTTGGGACCAGAGGCTTGGGGGAACAACTAGGGGCAGGTTTGCAATCGCTCAAGGAGCCCACGGGGGCATGGCGGCGGAGCGAGGCCAATAAGCGCAAAGGTGGGAGTTGGGGCTGCTGCGGACGTGTGGTGTGGGTGGCTCTGTTGTGCAATCTCTTTCTGGCCTGTGGTAGTTGGGGCAGACACGCGTGTGCTATATCTGAGAGGCAAGTCATGCACAGACTCCCCTTCCCCTCCCCGTTCCCCTCTTACCACAGGACACACACATGGTAAATTCCCCCACACCCCACCACTGTGGTCACGGGCACGCAGACGGGAATGGGCAGGCACACATGTGTCATGCATGCATAGAACCTCCTTCTTCTCCCCTTCCCTTCACCCTACCTGAGGCCACACGCATGGTAAATCCCCCACGCCCCACCATGGGCACGGGCACGCACACGGCTATGGGCAGGCACACGTGGCAGGGGGGATAGAGTAAAGCAACACACTATCCCCTTACCTTTCCTTCCCCGCCACAGGCCACACACACGGCTACAGGCAGGCACAAGTGACAGGGGGGAAGAAGGGGAAGGCGCATGTGTGCTATATTTGAGGCCCGTCTTGCATCGACACACACGTGTTACCTTCCCGTTCCCCTCTTCCCACCACAGGACACACTCACGGAAAATCTCCCACACCCCACCACGGGCATGGGCATGCACACGGGTACGGGCAGGCACACGTGGCAGGGGGGAAGAAGGGGAAGGCTGGGGAGGGGCAGCAGGAGGAGGATGAGGAGGAGGAGGACGAGGAGGAGGCAGTGGGGCTGGAACAGATGGTGCTGGATGTGCAGAAAGCCATGGCAGCAGGGGAGGGGTGTCAGGTAGGTGGAGTGTGTTGTGGGGGAGGTGGCAGGTGTGTGCGTATGTGCGTTGGTGTGGGAGAGGGAGGGCATGGAGGGGGGGGAGGCGGTGGGGCTGGACGTGCAGAAAGCCATGGCTGCTGGGGTATGGGGTGGGTGGCAGGTGTGTGGGGTGGGTGGCAAGTGTGTCTATGTGCGGTGGCATGTGAAGTAAGAGGGTGTGGGAAGTTGGGGCTACCATGTACAGAAGGCCATGGCTGCTGGGCACCATTTCGATTCTGTGCCTCCAACCTTTGGCTCCCCTCTCCGATTCCTTCCCACTTTTCTGCTCCCCGTCACCTTTTCCGTTCCACGTGCGCTGTGCCGCCAGCTGTAAGAGCATCTGATGGGCGGCGGAGAGGGTGGCAGGCAACTTCCACCTTGCCCCTTGCCTTTTCCTTCATACCCTGCTCCTCTTCACTCTTCCCTCCACTCTTTGCTGCGTGCGCCTCTCCTCAGCTGTACGGCCATCTCGCAGTGGAGAGGGTGGCAGGCAACTTCCATGTCTCGGTGCACGGCCAGTCGTACCTTGTGTTGCAGCAGGTGAGGTGGGATGGTTGGTTGCTTGCTCTGGAGCAGGTACAATGTGGGGTGGTTGTTGGTGTGTTGCCTCGCCCCATTCTCTCATGCATCAATCAACTTCCACGTCTCAGTGCACGGCCGGTCCTACCTCGTGCTGCAGCAGGTGTGTTGGGGTTGCCTGCTGCTTGCTACTTGGTTGGTGCTGCAGCAGGTGCGGTGGGTTGCTTGGTGCGATCTGGACGCAACTCATGCTCTGATGCCACAATCAGTCAGCACCACTCGTCCACCTCGTCTCATTTCAGCTCGGCCTTCTTCCCAACCCCCTTAACCACCCTGCGCCTCTCCCTCTCCCGTCCTCCTCCCAATTCTTTCTGTGCAATAAGCATTGTCAACCTGACCCACCTCATCCACTCCGTCGTCCTCTCCAACTGCCTTTTTCTTCCTCATCCGCATCGCATCTCATCTCACGTCCTCCTACGTCCCCTCACGCCTTCCTTGATATAACTCCCTCCTCCCCCCTTCCTTCGCAGGTCTTCTCATCAGTGGTGACGTGAACATGTCCCACATCATCCACTCCCTCACAGTCCTAGTGCCCTGTTCTTCCTTCTTTTCTTCCTTCCGCCCCTTCCCTCCTCCCCTCTCCCCCCCTCTCTCATGTCATCCACTCCCTCGGTTTCGGAGTGCTTTCCCCTTCCATTTCCTTCCATTCAACCCCTCCCTCTCCCCCCTTTCCCCCACCAGGTCTTCTCATCAGTGGGCGATGTGAACGTCTCTCACGTCATCCACTCCCTCGGTTTCGGAGTGCCTTATCCCGGCCGCCTCAACCCTCTAGACGGATTTGTCCGCATCCTGCCGCCCCTCAAGGAGGGGGAGGACCCTGCCCGCTCCAGTGGCACTTTCAAATACTTCCTCAAGGTGAGCCATCTCCACCACACTTCACCACACTTCACCGCACTCCAATGCACGTTGCTCCTTTCCATCCTGCCGCCCCTCAAGGAAGGGGAGGACCCTGCCAGGTCTAGCGGCACTTTCAAGTACTTCCTCAAGGTGAGCCATCTCCATCACACTGCACCACACTCCACCGCACTGCACCGCA